CACTCTCGGGTTAATATTTTTTTCCTACAAGGATGACGATGCCATATGTCAAAGCTGGAAAGAACACAGAACAATTTTTGACTTTGAATCTAAAGCCACAACTGATACACAAGGGAGTGTATGTTGTTGAATCCAGAAGTGGAACATCATCAATTGAAGGGTGCATCAGGCAATCAAACAGACTGAAAAACAAGAAGTTGTATCATTCCTGATGGCATTCCTGCTTAGCTGTCTAAAGCTGGTGGGCTTTAGCTCACTTTATGGCATGCACTTCTACTGTGGATTTGGGTTGAAAATCCTGACATTGAATCTCCTAAATTGCTTACACCATGTCACTAAGGAAATCTTCCCACAGTTAGTGTTGCTTCATAACTTTCGGAGGAATATCTGACATGGTCTTTCTTTTCAGGCAAGTCCAAGAAACACATTGAGACCACCACCAAGGAGCCTGTATTGTAGTTGACTAAAAGTAGCTCCAAAAAGGAGGAGGAGATGGCTAGAGTTAGTTGGAAAGGGAAGCCTAGCAGGGAAGACAGTGGAGCAGCAATGTCAGGAGTTTCTAGGGATAATTCAGGAGACACAGCAGAAATTTCATGCCACGTCAGAAGAAACACATTAAGGGGAGAGCGAGGCAAGTTAGGGACAGTATAAAAGAAAAAGCATACAATGTGGTGAAGATTAGTGGGAAGTCAGAACTGGGAAGCCTTTTAAAAACCAGCAGAGAACCACTAACAAAGCAAAAAGAAGGGAAGAAGATGAACTAGGAGAGTAAGCTAGCAAGTAGTACAAAAAAAAGAAGAATCATAGAATCCCTATAGTGTGGAAACAGGCCATTCAGCCCATCAAGTCTACACTGACCCTCCGAAGAGCATCCCACCCAGACTCCCACCATATCCCTGTAACCCCTGCACGTCCCTGGACAATATGGACAATTTAGCGTGGCCGATTCACCTAATGTCACATCTTTGGACTGTGGGAAGAAACTAGAGCACCCAGAGGAAACCCACACAGGCAATGGGGGAATGTGCAAACTCCACGCGGACAGTTACCTTTAAGTCATCTCCACTAAGAAAGCCATCAACAAACACATAGAGCCAGACCCCATATACACTCCATTGTGAAGAAAAACTGGAAGTGAGGTAACCTAGATCAACTGACACCAGAGTTTAAATAACAGGCGGAAAAACACAACAGCGCTTCATCGGAGGCTGCACTGATGATGTTACCCAGCAGGCTAATGAAACGTCTGTGGAACAACAAGCCAGCTCAGTGAGCAATCCAACCACAACAGTTGCCTGCAAAATCTGGCCTGTAGTCAAGCAAACCCATGTCATAGCTTCCAAGCTATTGATGGCTATTCACCTCATCAAAAGTCAGTGCCCTGTGATGTGATGATTAATTACTGCTTAGATGGAACACACTCCACTTGATTGCATCTATGCCAAAATTAAACTATTAACATACGTGATTAACAGTTTGTAGCTAACTACAGTGCTACACTCTGCAAGCCACATTTGGTCTCTTCAATTCTGCATTCCAGAAGGTTTTGCTTGTCCTGGTCAAAAGAAATCTCCTATGTCAAAGCGCACCTGGTCAGCTTTATATGATGGAGAGATTCTAAAATACATTGAGTATTTCCCTTGCTTAGGTAGCCACTTCGCACAAAAGGTCCACACTGCATAGATCCTACACCAGTGACGACTCCAAGTCAATAAAAGTCCTAGAGAAGAGTTGTCACCACACTCTCTGCATTAAGCCATGGAGGCTTTCACAGACACATACACTGCTGAAGATATTATATCGCAAAGCCTTCCCCACATTCAGTTCAATGGGAGGGCCATGTTAGTGTCCTCATTGAAGCCAGCACATCAACGACAACTGTAAAACCAATTTCAGTGGGTTGGACAATGGTCAGCTGAAATATGTCTCTGGTTCCTGTTTTCTAAAGTCTGAAATGGCCAGTATTCTACTTTGTTTCCAGAAGTAATGATGCTTAAATCACAGAATTTTCTCTAAGGACTCTTGTAAAACACCACCCTTTGTGTCTGAAAGTTCTAGCCAAAGGTACCAAAGATACACAACTACTTGGATACAGTTCCACTTAGTCTGGTGCATCTTTATTATGCTGCTAAGCAATAGTATGTAGTTAGAATGGCACTGGTTGTTCAGGAGTTCCATGAACCGTGGTCTGCCTCAGGTGGTTGATCCATTCCCTTTTCAAGATATAATTGCTCCATGGAGCCAAGGGATTTGGCCAAAGCTGCCTCCCTATTATTTTATGGAGCTGGAGGACCACAGCACTCCAGGCAGCATCAAAGGAACAGGAAACTTGACATTTTGGGTCGGGACCCTCCTTCAGAAATGGGAGGAACAGGAAAGTTGACGTTTTTGCGTTGACCTCCAGCTCCACACTGTTGTCTCTGACTCCAGCATCTGCAGTTTTTACTATCTCCTTATTGTTCTGGCTGAGTACCTTCTGATGAGTTTCGGGCTATAATGACTCTCCCATAGTTAAATGTGCAAAACAGTGTTTGCTTTTTGACCTGTTAGTAGCCTTGCTTGGAGAAACAGTTCAGCCATTTTTATGTTGGGTCTGGTTGCTTTAACCCGTTGGCCACTTGGCCACACTTCAGTGTCAGAATGTCTCACACAGAGCAGGTTTTCCTGAGTGATCTTATTGCCACCTCTGTAATTTTGGATAGACTGTTTCCTTCAACCTACCTCCAGGAATGGTATATATGATAATGGTGAATACCTCGCCTTAAAACTTGAATAAGTCAATTTCTAACTGCTCCCATGCCTTGACAGGAATATTGATGGTATTAATGGTTTTTCCCCTTTTGGCTTTTTACAGCACAAGAAATGCAGTTGCCGATGATTCTCTTTATTAATTGAGAAATCCCTGGCTGCCATTCTGACTGTGCTGTTGCATGACACTTTAATATCCAAATGACGTTGATAACTTCTCTCAAGAATGTGAAGTCTGAGTTCTTGTTACACTCTCTTGTTGAAGACCAGTGAGTTGTCATGGAATATGATGACTGCCACAGTTCACATGACAGGTGTTGAATTGGCTTATTCAGGACGTAGTCTGGCCATTCCTTCAGACAGTAACTCTGATTTACATACACTCTTCATCTCATTTTATTGCTTTTCTAAGCTGTTGCAGCTTTCTTTCTGTTGATGGGAAATGTTTTGGTATGTGTTCACAAATTAAATCTCACCACATTAGATTCAGTCTGAACTGTTGAATTCTCATGACATCTTGGTGATTTCCTTTCAGTTCAGAAGACTGACCAATGATTTATGGCCTTCTTCCATCTTGAAACTCAATAACGTAGAGATGTTTCACATTACCGTGAAAGGTTATTTTTTTCCCCAAGAGTGGTGTAATATGACCTAGAGGCATTGATCTCAGTGGACCAGTCTACACTTTCCATCTTTCCACAAGATCCAATCTGTTGAAGATGCATCAGCTGCTATAATGGTCAGTAGATGCTGATCATAGTGTGTTGAGTTTACCGAGAAGATCAGGAAATCCTTGATGTTTGTCCAAAGCCTGATCAAAGTTGCAGCACTTCTTTTTTTTTCCACCGTGGCATGGTAGCTGTCTCAGAGGATCCCCAATATCCGCTGAGTTTGGTTAAATTTAGCAACCTGATTTACTGTCTGAAGGATTCTTTTGAGATTTTTTGGCCTTGAGCAGTGGGAATTCTCTTTGCTGTGATTGCTTTAGCTTAGATAATGTGCTCAAAAAATCTGACTTTTGGTTTTGCAAACTCACATTCCTTGTTCAGTGTCAGACCTGCATTCTGTTGAGCTTTTATAACTGTTCTAACTTTTTGGTCATGTTTGTCTTGTGGCTGTGTAGTCAGCTGTGTGAGACATTACAGGGTCAGCATTTCCTGATGTGTTTGATATTATCCTCTGCAGATTTTCTGGAACAGATACTATTCCAAAGGGAAACCTATTTAAGCAATGCCTGATACCTATGGCTTTTTTTTTTAATTCACCGGATGTGGGTGTCACTGGGTAGGCCAGCATTTATTGGCCATCCCTAATTTCCTAGATGACAGCTGAGAGTCAACCATATTGCTGGAGTCATATTTAAGCCACACCAGGTGAGGGTGCCAGATTTCCTTCCCTGAAGGACAGTTAGTGAACCAGATGGATGTTCCCTGACAATCAACACTGGTTTCATGGTCGTCATTACACTGTTAATTCCATATTTTTAATTTAGTCCAAATTTCACCATCTGCTGTAGTGCGATTAGAACCTGGGTCCTCAGATTATTAGTCTTGTGATAACTCAGCTGTTGCCTCTCCTAGGTGTAGAACTTGAATTAGGTTTATTGTAGACCACTTTCACTAGTATTCATCCAGAGGTAATTGCTAAAATCCATTGTTACCATCCGGTCTGGTGAATCATACCACTCTTGGCTAGTTTTTCTAGACTTTCATCTACTGAAGCCAGTCGTAGATCTTGCATTCCATTGTTTTTATTTAATTGAGCTGGATCTGCAGTTCCTCCTTGCTCTTGATCTGACTGTACGCTTTGTTTCTTCTTTAACTTTATCAAAGATTGAGGGTGACATTTCTTGGTGTATGTATCCTATTGGTTTTGTATTGTTCCTCAACATGATGTGGCACTTGTCTTCGATTTCCGCACATTCGAGAACAATTTTCAGAACTCAGTTGAAAATTTCTTTCCTTGGTCTGCATCAATGATTTCATCACTTTTATAGATTAATTTCAGCTTTAAGCAAGCCTTCTTGCTGACTAAAGAACATTTTATTCTGAATTATATAGAAAATCCATGGTTTGTTTTCCCTTGTCCCTGAGCTGTGCCGAGAGTTGGCCTTTTACATTCGATGATGTCTCTGCAGGATCCTTCAGCTTTGTTGAGGATGGTAGCAATTTTAATCTATTTAAGCTGATCTGAAAGCATCGAAACACCAGTTATAGTATCACGTTTAGACTCTTGGATGCCCAGATACTTACAGTTTTGGACGCCAGTTCTTATTTTCATAATCATTGGTTTCACTTAAATGCCCCATTTTTCCACATGTAGAACTGGACTCCCCTACAGGATAGTGGTCCAGTTTGTTCCATGCACATTAACAAGTCTCCAAAATGGATGCTGGCTTGTTTTCCTCCATTCTTGGTAGGCTGTGGTTTTCACTTGAGTCACAGAATCCCTACAGTGTGGAAGCAGGCCATTTGGCCCGTCAAGTCCACACTGAACCTCCGAGTATCTCACCCCTCTACCCTGCCTCTGTAACCCTGCATTCCCCATTCCACGTAGCCTGCATATCCCTGGATATTATGGGCACTTTAGCAAGGCCACAATCCATGTAAGCTGCACATTTTTGGACAGTGGGAGGAAACCAGAGGAAACCCCCACAGACACCGGGAGAATGTACAAACTCCACATAGAGTCACTGATAGCTGGAATTGAACCCGGGTCCCTGGGTCTGAGAGACAGTGCTAACCATTCAGCCACCGTGCTGCCTAGCACTTGCTCTAGCACTTGCTTTACCCCTTGCGACTGAAAAACTTCAACTTTTTTTGTATGGTGCCTCATTTACCCCTCCAAGTTAATGTCCTATTTTGTTTCAATGTTCCGTTTGCCTTGGAAACTGCACTGCTTTGTTCAATGTTAAATCCTGTCTGGCCTCTTAAACCGTCTGACGGGGCCTCGCCTGTTACTGACTGATCCAGTTACAAATTCATTTCCTTTCCAATCCTTCATATGGATAACATTGTTAACCAATAAAGATCATTTATGAACTAAACAATGCTTTCACTCGACCTCTACTACTTACATTAAACACCTACTTGAAATAAATCATTCTGAACACTGAAATTGGCATAAAACACTCTTAGCACTTATAATGTTGTATTCTCCTGAATGCTCTGTATTGCTAATATGTATTTAGTGATGGTTCCTGCAGTGTAACATCGTGTACTACTTGTTGGTGTTTTGTAATCTTGAAGTTGTTTAATGCCTCATAAACCTTCTTTTCCAAATCTCTCATTCCTGGGCGTGATGCAAATCCTCAATCACCTGGAATGGTTCTTGGAGACAATGAGGTGCAGAGCTGGATGAACACAGCAGGCCAAGCAGCATCGTAGGAGCAGAAAGGCTGACGTTTCGGGCCTAGACCCTTCTTCAGAAATGGGGGAGGGGAAGGGGGTTCTGAAATAAATAGGGAGAGAGGGGGAGGCGGAAAGAAGATGGATAGAGGAGAAGATAGGTGGAGAGGAAACAGACAGGTCGAAGAGGCGGG